GACAAAATGAGAAAATTAAGGACTTTGAGTGAGCTTTTCAGAAGGTGAACATATTCCATTTTAAGTCCTTTCTATTTATTTTTAGTTAATGTCCTTCCTACTGTTTTGGCATTGAAAAGTCCGTTCATGATTTATTCATTTGTTCAACAAATATTTGTCCAATACTTAGAGCATTCTAGGCTTTGAATTAATTAGGTTCTGGGGATGTAGTGGTGAGTGAAACAGATATGGCCCCTGCCCACGTGGAGTTTGCATTAATCAACTCATCAAACAAGCAACATTAAATTGTAGATATAAATAAATATTACAAGCTGGAGGTACACAGAATTCTGAGCCTTTGGTAGGGCTTCACCCCAGGCAGGAAGGCTTCTCTAAGAACATGACATGGGACCAAGAGCTGAAAGGTGAAGATGGATCAGTTCTGCCAAGGAGGGAAGGAGAAGCTTCCCAAGCAGAGTGAGCAGCAGGAACAGTGGTCCCAAGGCCACAGTGAGCACAGCAAAGGGTCCCACGAACTGACAAGGTCGGCACGTTTTATGTTTTGAAAAGATCAGGGCTGAGCACAGCAGCTCATGCCTGTAATCCCAACACTTTAGGAAGCCAAGGCAGGTGGCTCACTTGAGCCCAGGAGTTCAAGACCAGCCTGGACAACATGGTGAAACCCCATATCTACAAAAAATAGAAAAATTAGCTGGTGTGCTGGCATACACCTATAGTTCCAGCTACTCTGGAGGCTGAGGTGGGAAGATCACTTAAGCCCAGGTGGTCAAGGGTGCAGTGAGCTGTGATCATGCCACTGTACTCCAGCCTGGGTGACACAGTGAGACTCTGTCTCAAGAGAAAAAAAAGATCACTTGGCTTTGGAATGGTGACCCATCAGAGGGACAGAGTCAACTGTGATGATAAAGAGTGCAACATCCAAAATAAGATGTATTCTAGTCCCCCAAAGTTCTGCATGGAATCCAGAAATCAGGGGACCTCTGGACAAGTACAGGCTGCTCTTTCACAATCATGTAGATGGAACTGTGAGGTTCAGAGAGGGAGGAGACCAGCTAGCCTCATTCTTGTGGTAGGAGCCCCAGTGATGGAAATGCCAGCTGCTGCTTCAGTTAGGGCCCTGTGCTGTTACCCCACCCTAGGGCTGTCCATTGCTAGAAGCTTGGCTGGCTGAGGGCTTGGGGAACCGGCACAGGGCAACTATAAAGCCATCTGGCTGGCTGGACAGGAAGAAACTGCTTAGTCATACACATTGCGCCATCCCCAGATCCCAGACTAGAGATGTTATCCTACATCATTGCGACATCCCCAGATCCCAGACCAAAGATGTTATCCCGGATCACTGGCAGCTATTCCAGGCCAGCATGGCCCTCTGTAGCTCCAACGGTAGGCAAGGGGCAGACAAGGGGTCCTTCAGGCTGGGAGAAGGCTGGCGCCCTGCTCCAATCCAGAGAGCCTGATTGGTGGTAGGTTCCCCACAGAGATTAGGCATCTCTGGACATGGCCTTTCACTTTGAACTGTGGTTTTACCCAGGACTCATGGTATTATAAGGTCTCATCTCACCCCACCCAGGTCAAAAGTCACCTACGAGCATTTGCCAAGGGGCTGGTCCCAGCTTTCAGGCTCAGCAGAGTGGCTGGCATTGAGGTAGCCAGGTTTCCAGAGCACTGTGCCCTTGCTCCTGGGGCCCTCTGGGCTGCCATGCAGAGAAACTCACTGTGCTGGGTAGCCTAGGGGCCACAGATTGCAGATAGGCAAAGCCTCCATTCATGTGTTCATTATTTATTCATTCAGCAAATATTTATTAACCGATTTACTAGCACCAGATCCTATGCTAGACACCAGGGAAACAGGGTGAGCTGGATGCCCAGGCCTTGCCCTCAAATAGCACAGAGATCATGAGAAAGACCATTAAACAAGTAAGGACAGAGTGGCAGGTGCTGGGGTGGGGTACACAGGAACTTCAGCAGGGACACATGTCCTAATCATGCTTAGAGGACAGCTGTCAAGCACATGAGAAATTAGGCAGGACACTGCAGATGGTACTGGAGTTAAAATGTGTGTGTTGTTGAATCAGACAGACTGCACTCAGTGGATTCAGTAGTAAGGAAATCTGTTCCTTTGCATGACAGGGCACTGTAAGGTAGGGCAATCTAGGCTTGGTTGACCTATCATCCAGGATGTATGTTTCCTGTCTCTTGGGGCCTCACTTGATGGTCAGGCTAGTTCCTTGGAGGCTGCAGCAGGGCTGCAGCTGTTTCTGCTATGGCTTCCAGACATAACAGTGCCAGGAGATAGTCCAGACCAGGTCATCCTGTGTCTCTCCTAGAGACTAGGATACCTTTCCCAGAAGTCTCCAATATCCCTCATATCTCATCAGGAAAACTGAGTTACAGGGTCCAGGCCTGGAGCTCCAGTATGAAGTGGAAAGGTGGAAAGACCTGAAGAAAATGTAGGGTCTGTTTGGAACATGGGTGAGGTGCAGCATGACTGTGGGGAGACAGCAATACATGTGCTGCAGGAATATCATAGCCAGTGAAGGAGGCAGTGGGCAAGAGGCAGGGTCCCCTAATGCCTTTGGACTGTTCCATAGTGCCCTGGAAGATAACATATATTCTAAAAATGTCTATGCTGGCTGGGTGGGGTGGCTCATGCCTGTAATCCCTGCACTTTGGGAGGCCAAGGTGAGTAGATCACCTGAGGTCAGGAGTTCGAAACCAGCCTGGCCAACATGGTGAAACCCCGTCTTTACTAAAAATACAAAAAATTAGCTGGGCATGGTATTGGGCATCTGTAATCCCAGCTACTCAGGAGGCTGAGGCAGGAGAAATGCTTGAACCCAGGAGGCAGAGGTCATGGTGAGCCAAGATCGCTCCATTGCACTCCAGCCTGGGCAACGAGAGCAAACTCTGTCCGCCGCCCCCCCTCCAAAAAATTAAAAATTAAAAAAATGCCTGTGCCCTTGGTCTGCCTTTTGGGGAGTCACAGAGCACATAAGGCTCTGAAAAGTCCTGTAGTAAAAGAAACAGGATTCACTTTGTAGAGCCCAGCAAGTGCTGGATCTGCTTCTACACATCATCTTATTTCTTTCTTGCATCAGCCCCAGGAAGTGGGTGCTGAGAGAAGGAACTGAGACTTAGTGAGAATAAGGGACTTGCCTGTGATCACACAGCCCAGGAAATGGCAAAGCAGACCTGAGTCAGGAGACCTGTGTTTGGCCCTGGGTCTGCTGTTAGTAGCTGTGTGACCTTAAGAGGGTTGCTCTGTCTCTCCGGATCCCCTGATTCTTCACCTGAAAAAGCAGGGGTCGTTTGCTTCTGCAGGCTCTTTAGAAATTCAAAGGCAGAGGTCATCCTGCTAAGGACCAGTTTGAATTGGGCCTTGAAGGACAGGCTTCAAGAGATGAGCAAGGGAGAGGTGGCAAGGTTTCAGGGGAGCCTGCAAATTCTCCGGGCTTGCTTCCATCTTGGAGGCCAAGGAAGCTAACTCCTCCAGAGAGTCTCTGTAGCCAGCGTTGCCTGTGTTTCCAGGCCAGACTGAAGTTCTGTCCTCTGATGGATCTTCTCCTGGCTGGCTTTTCTCTTGATTTTTCTTTTTTTTTCTTTTCTTTTTTTTATTTCTTTTTTTTTTTTAAAGACGGGGTTTCACCATGTTGGTCAGGCTGGTCTTGAACTCGCGACCTCAGGTGATCCACCCGCCTCGGCCTCCCAGAGTGCTAGGATTACAGGCACGAGCCACCACGCCCGGCCCCTCCTGATTTTTCTTTTTCCTTCCTGGCTCTACGTGAGGTCATGGGTACAAGGTTGCACCTCCCTGGACAGGCTGCCCAGGTGCCCAGGCTTCGCTGTTCCTACCTGTGTCTTCTTCCAGGGCACAGATAGGGTGGGTGGAGCTTGCCAGGCCTGGCTCTGCCAGGGAGCCACATAATCAGAGGCCACACAGCACGAAAGAACTGCCCTACTGTGCAGAACCAAGGACGGGATGGACCAGAAGCCAAAGGTATAGCAGAAAGGATGGTGACGCCTCTCATTCATCCTCCATCTCCTGGCCCAGTGCAGGTCCTAGGCCTATTAGGCCCTTAGGAAATGTGTCCAATGCATGGGTGTGCTCCTACCAGTGGCACCTACCACCTCAACAAGCTTGGGCCCCTTTTACTTCCTCTCTACCTCCCACTTAGCAAAGAAAGCCAGGTACAGGGCCAAGGTCACAGTCACAGGCCCCTTCTCTGGTGGATGTGAAAGATTTCTTTGAACCGAGATTTCTCCCTGGTCTAAATCAAGTGCACCATCCCTCCTGCCATACTCTGAGGCTCCTGGTCCAATCAAGTAGCCCCCTACAGTGGAGCCTCCATTACCCCTTCCTACAGATACCCTGCCAGACCTCCTGAACCAAGTTCATTCCTTTTTTTTCCAAGGCCTCTGTTCAGCACATTTTGTGTTGACTGGTCTGTCGCCCCTACTACACTGAGTTCATGAGGGCAGATCTATATTGTCTTCATTTCTGAATCTCTCCCCAACTCAGCCTCATACCCTGCCTGGCACGGAGCAGGTCCTTAATAAAGACTTGAAGGGAGGCAAACCCTAGCCTGCCACGCTGGAGGCTGCAGTCCTGACCTGCCCTGGGCTGCCAGGCAGACAGCCCAACAGACTGAGATGGACTCAGATGCCTGCCCCTCCCTGCACCAAAAACTAGTTAATAGAAGATTTTTATGGAAGCTGTGTTTGGCTTTGTGTCTCTTCTTTTTATCTTATCCTTGATACATTCCAGAGACCCGATTTCACAGCTAAGCTGGATTTTCTTGCCTGGCGTCTCATATTGATTTTCCCCAGCAGGGCTAGAAGCTACATTCCACAGGCCAGGGTATATTTCTGACAAGCCAGGTTTTTTCACAGGTTTGCAAAGCCACAGGTTGAGAGCCCTCATTCCCTCTTTTGGCTGTGCTGCAGCTCACTGTGGCCCAAACATCTCCCGTCCCCCCTCCAGTGCACCCGAGTGTCCTCACCTGTGACATGACAGGAGTTAGTCTTCCAAACTATTATTCTTCTAGTGAAATTTTACATGGGAACTTGAGCTGTGAAAAAGACAGAAGGCCACTGTGGTGAGGTGGGGGTGATAGGAAGAGTACTGGGCCCTCCCCTTTTCTTGTACCTCAAAGGTCCCTAGGGCTCCCTTGAGCTCAGTAAGAAAGTCACATGTGGCCTTGCTGCTTCTTAAATTTTTGTTTGTTAGCAAGGAAAGGTCATTTTGGAAAAAACAATAAATAAATAAAAAATTTTAAATGAAAAAAATTTTTGTTTAAGAGATCCAGGCTAGGCACAGTAGCTCACACCTGTAATCCCAGCACTTTGGGAGGCCGAAGTAGAGGATCACTTGAGCCAGGAGCTCAAGACCAGCCTGGGCAATATGGTGAGACTCTGTCTCTACAAAAAAATTTAAATTTAGGCCAGGCGCAGTGGCTCATGCCTGTAATTCTACTATTTGGGGAGGTTGAGGCAGGCGGATCACTTGAGCCCAGGAGTTCCAGACCAGCCTAGCTAACATGGCAGATAACCCATCTCTATAAAAAAATACAAAAATTACCTGGGTATGGTGGCATGCGCCTGTACTCCCAGCTGTTGAGGAGGCTGAGGCACGAAAATTGCTTGAGCCCAGGAGGCGGAGGTTGCAGTGAGCCCAGATCCTACCACTGCATTCTAGCCTGTAGCAAAAAAAAAAAAAAAAAAAAAAAAAAAAAAAAGATTTAGACAACTTCAGGTGCTTCCAAGCAGTAACCATCATCATTTGTTATGGGGCTTACTAGCCTTCTCTCTGCATTGTCATGGATAGGTGTGTGGTCATAGAAGAGTTAGTGTGGTTTGCTTTTTTTCCTTGGGAATAAGAGAATTCTTTCCGCATCAGCACAAACAGATCACTGTCTTTCTTGGCAGCCACCACACAGCGATCTGTAATACAGATGTGGCACAGTTCATTTGGCTCTTTCACTCATGATGGACATTAAGTTGCTTTCCATTTTTCACTGTTGCAAACAATGCTGAAAAGAAAATCTTTAATCAGACCTCTGTACCCACAGCCAGCATCTCTTTAGGGTAGATGCCTTGACAGGGAATATCCTGATCAAAAGGTGAGCACATTTTACTTTTTTTTTTTTTTTCTTTTTTTGAGACAGTCTCTCTCTGTCGCCCAGGCTGGAGTGCGGTAGCACGATCTCTGCTCACTGCAACCTCTGCCTCCCGGTTCAAGCAGTTCTCTGCCTCAGCTTCCTGAGTAGTTGGGATTACAGGTGCCTGCCACCATGCCCAGCCCCAATTTACCTTTTAACAGGGGCTCTCGGCCGGGTGTGGTGGCTCATGCCTGTAATTTCAACACTTTGGGAAGCCATGGTGGGCAGATCACTTGAGATCAGGAGTTTGAGGCCAGCCTGGCCAACATGGTGAAACCCTGTCTCTACTAAAAATTCGAAAATTTGCCGGGCATGATGGTGTGTACCTGTAGTCCCAGCTACTGGGGAGGCTGAGGCAGGAGAATTGCTTGAACCTGGGAGGTGGAGGTTGCAGTGAGCCAAGATCCAAGATCGGGCCACTGTACTCCAGCCTGGGTGACAGCAAGACTTCATCTAAAAAAAACAGTGGCTCTTGGGATGCTCTCTAAAGTGGCTGGAGCCATCCTCATGGGCACCAGCAGCAGTGAGAGTCTCACCCTCCCACACCCTCACCAATGCTTGATTTAATTTGTCTCTGTGCCATTCTGAGGGGTAGAGCAGTGAGCCTGTGGTCTCTGGACCCTCCACACCCTGCAGTAGTTCCAAGCCTGATGGTTTTCCTTTCTCTCTCTCTACTGTTCCCTCTCAGTACCAGGAAGGAGGAGAACACACGGAGTTTGCTGAATGACAAGCGCACGGTGGCGGCGCAGCGGCAGCGCTATGAGCAGTACAGCGTGGTGGTGGAGGAGGTAGGCCACCAAGCTGGGCCTCTGCTAGGCTGGGGAGACCAGGACAGCCCCTGAGTCCCTCCAACCCATGCTTCTGCCATTGCAGGTGCTACTGCAGCCAGGTGAGAGCCTGCCCTACCACAATGTTTACTATGAGGATGAGTACGATGACACATACGATGGCAACCAGGTGGGTGCCAATGATGCAGACTCAGACGACGAGCTCATCAGCCGCAGGTGAGGCCATAGGGCGGGTGGCATTCCAGAGCAGAGCAGCTTTTAGGCCTGTGGGGTCCCTCACCCTCCTGTTTACATAGATGAGCAAGTCAGTGGCAGAATCAGGGCCCAAACCCAGTCCTCCTGACTCCTCCTAATCCAGTGCTCCTCCACCCCAGCCCACCTTGAATGGGACAGCATTTATTTGATGTCATGCAGTAGCTTTGCATTTTTCTTTTTCTCTTTCTTTTTTTTTTGAGATGGAGTCTCACTCTGTCACCCAGGCTGGACTGCAGTGGCACGATGTTGGCTCACTACAACGTCCGCCTCCCAGGTTCAAGAGATTCTGCTGCCTCAGCCTCCTGAGTAGCTGGGACTATAGGTACATGCTACCACACCCAGCTACTTTTTTATTTTTAGTAGAGACAAGGTTTCACCATTTTGGTCAGGCTGGTCTTGAACTCCTGACCTCAGGTGATCCACCCACCTCAGCCTCCCAAAGTGCTGGGATTACAGGCGTGAGCCACCACGCCCGGCCTCTTTCTCTTTTTTCAGACAGGTTTTCCCTCTGTCACCCAGGCTGGAGTGCAATCATGGCTCACTGCAGCCTTGACCTTCTGGACTACAAGTGATCCTCCCACCTCAGCCTCCTGAGTAGCTGGGACTACAGGTGTGGTGTGCACCACCACACCCAGCTAACTTTTATTTTTTGCAGAGGTGGGAGTCTCACTATGTTGCCCAGACCAGTCTCAACCTCCTGGGCTCAAGTGATCCCTCCACCTCAAACTCCCCAAGTGTTGGTATTACAGGCATGAGCCACTGTGCTCAGTCCATTTTTCTTTTTTTTTCACTATCTCCAGTAATGGCTATAAGCAACATTTTTCTTAATTGAAGAAAACGTTTTCAGGTGGAATCGTGTAATGATTCTCCAATACAGGTCAAAGCAGAACTGTCCTGACTAAAGAAAGGCCTGGAGACACTCATGGCCCCATCTCAGCCTCCCCCTCAACACCCACCTCAAATTCTGTTAACCTCAGAGAATCCAGAAGCTGAAGCAAAGCTGGCTTGAAACCCCTTTGGTTTTTCCCAGCCTCATGAGCCCTTCTTGTGGCCCCCTCACCCAGCCAGGTTCCCTCCCGTTGCGGCTCTAGCTGTTCTTTGATTTCACTTCTCTCCACACCTTCAGGCCATTCACCATCCCTCAGGTGCTGAGAACCAAAGTGCCTAGAGAAGGGCAGGAGGAGGAGGACGACGACGAGGAAGAGGAGGCTGACGAGGAGGCTCCCAAGGTACCTCCCTGGCAGGTGGCAGATGAAGCAGGGAGTGCGGTTCTGAAGGGTGAATCAGAAGTGCCCCTCACCCTCCCTGCATCTGGCCCTGAGGCAGCCCCAGTATCACTGGTGGGGACAGGAGGAGTCCCTTTGAGCCCAGGATGTCTGCTTGGAGAGCTGCTGGCTTAGAACTCACTTCTGCTGCCCACTAGTGAGGGCCTAGGGGACAGATTAAAGGCAGGGCCTCTGAGCTGCCAGCTTCATTATTAGGCCCAGGAGCCAGGGGTCGGGAGAAGGGCAGTTACTAGCACTGTGCTCAGGATGGCAATCCTTAAAATCAGAGAGGAGTTAGAGAGCCCAAGGGCCCTGGGAAGTCACCTGGAACCAGTAGCTTAGAAAATTCTACTTTCTAGTAGCTAAACTTTTTATTTGAATGAAGTCTTAACTAGAACCTCAACATACAGAACAGATAAAAGCAGTACTGCTCAGGTGATAGGGGCAGCAGCCTGGGATCCCTCATGCCCCACACCAGGGTGGCAAATTCAGGTGTTTTCAGGGCCAGGTCCTGACTCCAGATTTGGTCTCCTCTCCCTTCCACAGCCTGACCATTTCGTACAGGACCCTGCAGTGCTGAGAGAGAAGGCAGAAGCCAGGCGCATTGCCTTTCTCGCCAAGAAAGGGTGAGCATTCAAGGGGCTCCTTCTGAGGGGACCCTTCCCACCATCTAGGGAAGGCAAGGCCAGCCATCCAGGAAACCCAGACATACACCCTTAAGTACTCCATGTGTATTAATTTAGTTCTCACGACAACCATGGGAAGTAGCTATCATTATCACTATCCTCATTTGACAGATGAAAAAACTCAGGCCCAGAGACATTAAGTAACCAGCCAAATGTCACACAGCTAGCAGGTGATGGAGCAAAGATGGGGCCAAGATAGCTCAGCTCCAGGGTCCCCACTCATAACCATGACTTGATGAACACAGGAGGGGATTTATCACCCAACGCGTCCAGGGGTAGCTGATACCAGGCAGAGTGTAAATGTGAGAGAGCTCAGACATACACACATCCTTTCTGGCTGATAGGGGTATGGAAGTGACGGGGCACTTGAGCTGGGTCCCTAAGGGTAAAAAAGGCACAGAGGAGTTTGTCATATGAGGGCAGAAAGGTAAGAAAGCAGACGTGGTCAGAAGAGGGATCTTTGAGGGGAGCTGAGATCAGTAGCCAGAGACTCCTCATCCAGGCCCCACATCTTCCCATCGAGGAAACATCCAGAAAGTCCAAGGATCTGCCTCCACCTAAGGGCAAGCCAGAAGCCCACTGCCCCATCCCAGCCCTAGGCTTCATGCCACACTGTCTACTGGTTGCAGAAGGCAGGGAAGGCATTTGGGTTTCATTCTGAAGGCAGTGGGGAGCCATAGAAAGTTGTTGGGAGCAGAGCAACCCTGACTTCTCATCCATCCCAGCTCCCTGAGTGCAGAGCTCTGGCAAATCCCAGGGGTTGAGATGGTCTGAAAGAGCCCTAGGTTACATCTGTGAGTGCACTTGGTCCTTGGAGGTCACGAGGCAAGGCCCTAGGGTAGAAAACAGGAGTAATATCTCAGCTGCAGTATGTGGCCCCAGGTGGAGAAAGGAGGAGACCCGACCAAAGCCCTCCCCATTTTCTGTGGGCTGCGTCAGCCTTCCAGCTTTTCCTCCGCTACATGGATTGATGGGCGCACCTGGAAGCAAGGCCCAGAGAAGAGAAAACACTAGGCTTGGGTCTGGTCAGAGCCCCATAACCCTGCCAGGCTCCATTTCTCCTTCCGTCTGAAGTTGGGACATGGGTGACCTGGCCCAGCCTGTGTGTCCTCTCCCAGTGAACACCAAGGCAGGCTGTGGGCTTTCCCCGCCAGAGCCTCCTCTGCCTGACAGGTTCTTGTGGGGTGGGTTGTTCCTCCCTCAGGTACCGGCATGACAGCTCGACAGCAGTGGCCGGCAGCCTCCGGGGCCATGGGCAGAGCCGCGAGACAACCCAGGAACGCAGGAAGAAGGAAGCCAACAAGGCAACAAGAGCCAACCACAACCGGAGAACCATGGCTGACCGCAAGAGGAGCAAAGGCATGATCCCATCCTGAAGGCTGGTGTAGGGCCAGCGGGGAGGCAGCGGCCCCAGACTCTGCAGGCCGCGCTCCCATCACCTTGGGCCTCCTTACCAGGTGGCCCCCTGCCAGGGCCCCAAGATCAATTCGACCCCTCAACAGCCTCAGCTTTGCAGCCCCTGAGAAGGCCGCCTCTCATCTACCAGCCAGCCACGAGCGCCTTCCTGCAGAACACACAGTGCCTTATCCCACAGCGGAAGAATCCATGGGGCCAGCAAGCAGGCGCCTTCCCCCAGCTGTGCTGGCGGGAAAGGGATGGGGATGGAGCCCCAAGGCAAGCACCCCAAACCTCGGGCAACAAGATACTACTTCTCCTTTACCCTGGACAGCAGGAAACCTGTATATTCAAAAACAGAAAAAGGTCTGCTAATAAAATTTTTGACCCTTTCAAATGAAGATATGCCCATGAACCACACTCCCTGTGTCTCATTCTTGAGGGACAGCTGCCAGCTGGAGGGCAGGATGGTCGCTGTGCTCTGTCAGCCTCTACTGCTTGTGGCTCCCATAAACCCCCTAATGCTGCCCTGCCTTGCTGTGTGGCCCTGAGAATATCACCCCCTTCTCTGAGCCTCCAGTCCTTGCTTATCGAATGAAGGGCTCGTTAGGGTGAGCCCCTGGGGTCCTTTCCATTTTCTCATTCAGTTCTGACAGCTCCACTATAGGAGGTAGGTACCATTTGCAGCCCTGTAGTACGTACTAAATGAGGAAAGTGAGGCACTGAGGGCTGAAGGCGCCTACCCAGTCCATAGTTAGTTAGGAGGTGGCAGAATGGGGACTGGACACTCAGTCTGAACCCTGGCCTTTATAGGGCTCTAGACTCCCATACATGGTATCATCTCCCATCTCACAACTGGCCCGAGGACACTGAGCCCGTGGCAGAGGCAGTACCCAAACTCAGTACCTCGTGGCTGTATCTACACTAATAAATCCTCCCAGATCGAGAGTTCAGACAGAAACCTTAAGAAACAAGTAAGGGCCGGGCACAGTGGCTCACACCTGTAATCCCAGTACTTTGGGAGGCCGAGGCAGGTGGATCACTTGAGGTCAGGAGTTCGAGATCTGCCTGGCCAACATGGTGAAACCCTGTCTCTTTTTAAAAATAATAAATAAATAAAATAAAAAGAAACAATGTCACTGCCAAGCCCTGTCAAAGTGAGTAGGGGCCTGGCTCCTCAAAGTCCCTCCCAGGCATGGCCCTCTAGCTCCTAGTGTGGCAGCAGCTGCCAGGCCCCTCCATTCCCAGGCCACCCCATGTGGTGTCAGTCAATAGCAAGTCAACAGCAGGGCACTGACTGGGCTAACCTGAGCCCCGCCTAGCCTGGAGTCCCGTCCTGTCAGCGGAAGCCAGGGTCCATGCCTAGCTGGACCTTGACAAATCACCCTGGATGCTGGTGCAATTTATTTGCATGTACTTAGGATGAGAGTCTGAGGCAGAGGCAGACGGGCACTTGACTGATTGGTTTTGTTAGGTCAGGCTGCACAAGTGAAAATCAATAGCAATCCCTCTGCCTTGCCATCTCTCTTGGTGCATTTGAGATGCAGAACAGATACGGGGGTGGTGTCCTCCCCTCGAGCTGCTGAAATTAGCTGAGATCAGGCCCAGGATCAGCCGTCCTGACAGGCAGCAGGAAGGCTGTTTCCTCCTGGAGGCATTTGCCAGGGACCTCCCTGAACTCCTCAGGCCCAGTGCTTGTCCCTGGAGCGAAGTAAGATGGGTTGGAGGTTCCCAGGATTTACTGGCCTTACCCATTCCTGTTCACACAGCCCCTCTCACTTTCACTTAGTCATCCATACCTCCCACCCACCTGGACTGGAGTTCAGGCCTCATGTGAAAATCCTGGTTTAAAGGATCTGAGAAGACAAAGGCAGTTTTTCAAATTTTTCAGAATGTAGTGCCAGGTCAAAACTCATCTCCCTTGAGTAACTAACTACTGTTTTCTGGTTTCAGATCTTGAAAGCACTCTTTTAGGGGTGCTTTGAAAACCGCTCAGGGGGCATCCAGAATGGTGTTCCTAGGCCTACCACCTCAATTATCAGGGCCTCAGTTTTACCATCTGTACCGTGATCCTGCTGGACCAGATGAAATCTTTCCACTTGGTGCCAATTAAATCCTCTGAGGAGACCTCAAGGTTTAATTAACATTGGCAGCCACTCCAGCCTGTGAAACAGGAAGACCCAATCCCTACAGAAAATAAAAAATAAGGTGGATGTGGTGGTACACACCTGTAGTCCCAGCTACTTGGGAGGCCGAGGCAGAAGGATCACTTGAGCCCAGGAGTTGGAGGGTGCACCTGGGAGTTGGATGCTGCAGTGAGCTATAATCATGCCACTGCACTCCAGCCTGGGCAATGAGTGAGACCTTGTCTTTTTTTTTTTTTAAGACAGGGTCTCGCTCTGTTGCCCAGGCTGGAGTGCAGTGGCACAATCTCAGCTCACTGCAACCTCTGCATCCCGGAGTCAAGTGATTCTCCTGCCTCAGCCATGAAGTAACTGGGATTACAGGCTCACACCACTATGCCCGGCTAATTTTTGTATTTTTAGTAGATGGGGTTTCACTCTGTTGGCCAGGCTGGTCTCAAACTTCTGATCTCGGATGATCCATCTGCCTCAGCCTCCCAAAGTGCTGGGATTACAGGTGTGAGCCCCAGCGCCCAGCCAGAGACCTTGTCTCTTAAGAAAAAAATAATTGGCAGCTGCAGAAGTGTTAGAATCAAAGTGGAGTTAGAAGTGCCTGCGGGGTTACTGCATCCCACCACCCCTCCTGCTGCTTCTGCATAGTATTTTCTAAGTGCCTTTTCTAGGCCCTGGCAAAGAACACGATTATCACTGACATTTGCTGGCAAGCTTTGAAGACCTTGTGTCTCCAAGAGGACTTAAGATGCAAGTGTCTTTGTTCCTAGTCTGTGGGTGGCAATGTCGTGGGCATGTGTGTTTGAACAGTGCTCTGTGCCTCTGTGAGGTGGGAGGGCAGAGCCTGTCCTTGTTTACTAAAAGGGACCCGAGAGCCCCCACAGGGGTGGGAGGACAGGTTAGGCTTAAAAGAGCCAAGTGCAGTCCGGAAGAGGAAAGAATTGGTGAGAACTTGCATAGCCCTGCCACGCCAGGAGCTTGGGTAAAATAAACAGGGAGGGAAACAACAAATAAAAGTCAACAGCCAAGAAATGTAGGAGGGTAAGTTGTAAAGAAGAAGAAAAGCAAACAAAAGAAAAGTGCAGTGGCTGGGCGCGGTGGCTCATGCTTTAATCCCAGCACTTTGAGAGGCCAAGGTGGGCAGATCAGGAGGTCAGGAGTTTGAGACCAGCCTGGCAAACAGGGTAAAACCCCATCTCTACTAAAAATACAAAAATTAGCCAGGCATAGTGGCAGGTGCCTATAATCCCAGCTACTTGGGAGGTTGAGACAGGAGAATTGCTTGAACCTCGGAGGCAGAGGTTGTGGTGATCACCCCACTGTACTCCACTCCTGCCTGGGTGACAAAGCCAGACTCCATCTCAAAAATAATAAAAGAAAAATGCAAGGGGGTGTTGTGTAGCCCTTTGAAATGATATCCACAGAGACTTGGTAGTGACATGGGAAACTAAATATTCAAGAATTAAAAAAAAATTTTAAAGTAGAATACATGATTGTGTGACGCACCATGATTGTAAAAAATATTAATTTTTTCTTTCATACCAAGCAATTCTAGAAAAGAATGTGCATAAATGAAAATAATAGTGACTGGGTGCAGTGGCTCATGCCTATAATCTCAGCACTCTGGGAGGGCAGGGCAGGTGGTTCACCTGAGGTCAAGAGTTCGAGACCAGCCTGGCCAACATAGTGAAACCCCCATGTCTACTAAAAACACAAAAATTAGCTGGGCATGGTGGCACGTGCCTATAATCACAGCTACTTGGGAGGCTGAGGCAAGAGAATCGGTTGAACTTGGGAGGCAAGGGTTGCAGTGAGTCGAGATAGTGCTACTGCACTCCACACTCCAGCCTTGGCGACAGTAAAACTCCATCTCAAAAAAAAAAAAAAAAAAAAAGAGGCTGGAGTGGTGGCTCGCACCTGTAATCCCAGCACTTTCAGAGGCCAAGGCCGGCAGATCACGAGGTCAAGAGATTGAGACCATCCTGGCCAATATGGTGAAACCCTGTCTCTACTAAAAAATACAATAATTCGCGTGATGGCACATGCCTGTAGTCCCAGCTACTCAGGAGGCTGAGGTAGGAGAATCACTTGAGCCCGGGAGGCAGAGGGTGCAGAGAGCTGAGGTCGTGCCACTGTACTCCAGCCTGGTGACAGAGCAAGACTCCATCTCAAAAAAAATAAAAATAAAAGCAGGTTGGGGCATGATGGCTCACACCTATAATCCCAGCACTTTGGGAGGCCAGAGTGGGCAGATTGCTTGAGTCCAGGAGTTCAAGACCAGTCTGGGCAACATAGTGAGACCCCCATTTCTACTAGAATAAAATAAGCTGGGCATAGTGGCACATGTCTGTAGTCGCAGCTACTTGGGTGGCCAAGGCTGGGGGAATGCTTGAGCCTAGGAGTTTGAGACCAATGTGGGCAACAGAGTGAGACCCCATTCGTACAACAAAGGTTTTTTAAAAATTAGGGGGCTAGGCGTGATGGCTCACACCTTTAATCCCAGCACTTTGGGAGGCCGAGACAGGCATATCATAAGGTCAGGAGTTCGAGACCAGCCTGGCCAACACAGTGAAACTGTCTTTACTAAAAATATAAAAATGAGCCAGGCATAGTGGCGAACACCTGTAATCCCAGCTACTCAGGATGCTGAGGCAGGAGAATCACTTGAACCTAGGAGGCGGAGGTTGCAGTGAGATGAGACTGTGCCATTGCACTCCAGCCTGGCTTACAGAGAGAGATATCATCTCAAAAAAATTATTAAAATTAATTTAAAAAATAAAAATTAGCCAGGCATGGTACTGCTCAGCTATAGTCCCAGTCCCCACTACTCACAAGGCTGAGGCTAAGCACGGGAGTTCGAGGCCGCAGTGAGCTATAATCAAGCCATTGCACTGAGCTTGGATGACAAAGCAAGGCCCTGTCTCCTAAAAAAAAGAAAAAAAAAAGGCAGAAGGGAGGGAGTTAAGCCCACAAGGCAGGTCAGCCCACAGCCCAGTCACTAGTTCAAAGAAGAGCTCTCAGTGTTTCAGCTTGTTCTCAGGAATCGGGAATGGGCGGCCAGCCCGACTGGAAAGGCCAAGGAAGGGGAGGACAAGTGCATCCATTCACCTATTTACCAAAAATCTAGGTGCCAGGATGTGTGAGAAAGACCCAGATTCTGCCTTCTTGGAATTCACAGTACAAGAGGCATATGGATATTAAATAAGACATTTTGGAAAAATGATTAATAATAATTGTGCTAAGTCCTAATACATGAATGAAGAAATAAGTGGGAAGGGAAACAGGCAAAATCAACAGAAAGAGGCTGGGAGCAAAGAGAATTCCCAGAAGCAAAGGGTGGTCGCAGGGTCAGGCAGCCACTGAGAGAGAGAAGGAGAGAGAGAGAGAGAGAGATCAACTAAGCAGAGAGGCAATGGGGTTCATTGGGGCTCTGCCAGGAAGTGGCGAGGAGGCAGCCAGCAGGAAGAAAGGAACAGGAGGATCCTTGGAAGGAAATTGGCTTTGACAAGGAAGAAGGGGCTCAGAGGTGGGGAGGGGTGTTGGCACCCAGAGCATGTTTATGGGATGACTAAAAGAAGTGGGGGAGGCACCAGGGCTCCAGGGGACCCACCTAGGGGAAGGCCAGTCCCCAGAGACAGGAAGGGTGGGCTCCGCACCTTTCAGAGCCCCAAAGCAGCCTGGCATCTGGTCTTCTCCAAATGTCTGAGTGTGGGGCAGGGGCTTCAACTGTGGCCAGAGCTGTTGCAATTCAGTAGTCAGAACCACGGTAAAAATTCATTCTGAGGGCTGGGCACAGTGGCTCATGCCTGTAATCCCAGCAGTTTGAAAGATGGAGGTGGGTGGATTGCTTGAGCCCAGGGGTTCAAGACCAGCCTAGGCAACAAGGCGAAACCTCATCTCTACAAAAAATAGAAAAATTAGCTGGTGTGATGGCATGCGCCTGTAGCCCTAGCTACTCGGGAGCCTGAGGTGGGAGGATCACTTGAGCCTGGTGGGTGGAGGCTGCAGTGAGCCCTGAGCATGCCACTGCACTCCAACCTGGGCAAGAGAGCAAGACCCTATCTCAAAAAAAAAAAAAAAATTCATTCTGTCTAGAGGTTGCCCTCTGTGTGTATGGGGTGTGGGGGGGGGATCCTCAAAAGGAGCAAGACATTCTCACTTCACATCACACTGAAAATTCCCTTCCAAGGATCAATAATCAGCAAGAGGATTTCACACAGACTGGCAGAATTCAGAACATCTTAAAGGGCATTTAGTTCAGATTTTCTCAACCTATTTCAACCCCCAACCAGCCCCAATCTTAGGCTCTGGAATTCCAGACATCCCCTCCTCCCCTGGGGGAAGGGAGCTTTATCCTGCTTAAGACTTTGCTGGGGCCGGCGCAGTGGCTAACGCCTGTAATCCCAGCACTTTGGGAGGCTAAGGCAGGTGGATCACTTGAGGTCAGGAGTTGGGAGACCAGCCTGGCCAACAAGGTGAAACCACGTCTCTACTAAAAATACAAAAATTAGCTGGGCATGGTGGCATACATCTGTAGTTTCCAGCCACTTGGGAGGCTGAGGCACAAGAATCGCTTGAAACTGGGAGGCGGAGGTTGTGGTGAGCCAAGATCACACCACTGCACTCCAGCCTGGGCAACAGAGTGAAATTCTGTCTCAAAAAAAAAAAAAATTATTTGCTGAGTTTCTGTGCATCTCTCCCAGCCACGGAGGTTTCTTCCAGCTTTACTGACTGTGGTCTGAATTACAAAAATGACAGGTACTTAATTCTAGTTTTCCAAATATGAAATTATGATGGTGGCACTGCCTCTTCTAGCTACAGGAGACCAGTCTCAGCACTCTGACATGTCCCCTAAGTGCTCTGCCATCCCAAGGAGGTAATCACGGTTTTCGCCTCCTTAAAGTGATTTTACCCAGAAGAGCCAGGTGGAAAACGGGCCCTCAGTGGGACAAGCACCAGTGATTCTTATAAAGTTAGGAATTTCTCTTTCTTATATTATTTTATTTTATTATTATTTTTAATGATAGAGACGGGGTTTCACCATGTTGCCCAGGCTGGTTTTGAACTCCTGGGTTCAAGG